TTTTAAATGTGAAAGATCAGAACTTGTTTGGATGTGCGGCGCTATGGGAATGGGTGTGTCCACCCGAATTCCTGATTTCCGAGATAAAGCTGCAGGAAGCCTCAGCCCTTCTTCAGACATGTTTTAAAATGTGGCGGCGAAATTCAGCGGGCGATCTAGCTTGGCGACAGCCCACGGCTAGGGCATTGCAGTGAGCTGCGCCATAATAACGAATTGAAAGAAATCCTTAACGAGATGCAGCTTCGGGCTCTGAACATGGTATGGTTTGGCACAGAATCATCACCGTGATATGCTGCATATTTCACAGCTTCAATTGTGCTGGTTTTTGTTGGATAGCTCTGGCAGAAAATCAACAAAGTTTCAAGCTTTTTGGTGAATTTCATGTGTAGTTGGTACCTTGGCATTCTAATACCGCTGAAGTCACAACTTCTAAGTTGGTATTACTTCAGATGTACAGTCAAACCTCGCTTAACCGAACACATCCGTTTTCCACAAAAATATTCGGATAGGCGACGGAACCGGATAACTGAACACACATACTGTATGTATGCATGCTATAAGCTGTAAATCGGTAACCAACCATTTTCTTCCGGATGGCCAGGGATGTGGATAAAAGAGGACCGGATAAGCGGAATCTGTCTGTAGTACCATATTGTAGCACGAGAGCGCCCCACCATCTCGTTATTTCGTGGTGGTATTGTGCTGGTGGTACCCTCCTTGTAGGTCACACGACACAGACCTTGTGCACACGTTGCATGTTGTGTGATCAATCCGTACTCGTATAGACCTTCGAGCGGACATGAGCTCCACATAAAACCTGCGGAGCGTGTCATTAGTACACCATGGTTATCACACTCTACTAACTTTTTCGCACCAGTATTGCACCACTATTTCCCACTATTGTGAAGGGGATATTAAAATGAAATGACTATGCAACCACACGGAGGACTCAGTTAGCTTTAAGCATGTCCTATTTGTCGACACGCATGAGTAGAGCGTAACAACTGGAGAGTATAGGGCACACGACAAGAAAGAACGAAAGGATTAGTTCCAAACTTTTTTCTTGTTACCGGCGTCAGAAATGAGTATGGCTGAAAGTGTACTGACAAGCATGTGGTGTCCACTGTGTGTGTGTGTGTGTGTGTGTGTGTGTGTGTGTGTCGTTTGGATTTTTCAGATTCACGGCTTCTTCCAGAGCACGAACGACTCGTTTTTCCGTGAGCTGCTAGCTGGACATTACTACGTCGTCGTGGCAACACAAACAAACCCAGGTGGCGAGCTGCGCGGGCAAATCCTTACGCAGCGAAAAAGTAAGAACCCAATGATAGAAGGGAAGCTCAGCAGTTCGTTTGTTTCACGCAAGTCGAGTCAGCGAGTCAGATCTAGGCTAGAGTCGCATGAAAATCTAGGAGATTGGATTTACTTGAGTTCTTGTTGTTTGGTACCTGAAAAGCTCCGAGAACGCAGTGCCACCAACTAAGGATACCGTACAATCTGCTTTTTAAAAGCGAGCTCTGTTATCACAGTGTAGCAACAACTCGACGTGAGCGATCGTTTTTCCAGGCACCAGCAGTTCTGCATAGAAATTGCACGGGTAACAACGACCACTTGCGTTGCGCGACCAGTGATGGACTTCTGGTGTACTAGGTGCAGTATTTGATCTGCAAACAGCGACCGAAAGTGGTGTCCTGGCTGGCTGGCTTCACTGCAACGAGGTTGAAATGCGTTCAAAATAAGAGCCAAGAAAGCAAGTCAAAGCAGGTGTTACCTTCCCTGGGGCAGAAACTGCTGCAGTTGAATCCCGGGACGGATACCCGGATGCCGTTAATCCTTTCAGTCCTGCAATTTGTCCTCGCTCACTGATTGTGGTGTAGTGAGCATAGGGTGGGCCAAGTTTTTCAAATCCACTAGTGGGTTGGGGATTTTTGTTGTTGTCAGCCATTGGGCGGTTCCTATACCCAATTGGGTCAACTTTTCAGGATTCTTCTAAATCTCTCTCCCTTCTCCCTAGGGGAGACCTACGTGACAAGGTACTGGTCGTGAGCAAGTACACATACATGTGTGTGTGTGTGCGTGTGTGTGTGTGTGTGTGTGTGTGCGTACGTGTGTACGTGTGTTCATGCATGTTTGTTTGTTTGTGTGTGCGTGTGTGTGTGTGTGTGTGTGTGTGCATATGTACGTGTGTTAATGCATGTTTGTTTGTGTGCACGTGTGTGTTCACACGTACGTGTGTGCAGCCACCAGCATCGTTCTGCAATCCGGCGCCGCAATCACGAATGTGGGAGGTGCTGTTCGCTTTGATCTGGACGGCGTTGGTCTCCTGCATGTACGAGTTGATTTCTTAGTCGGCCAACAGCTAACTTCAATCAACAATAACATCAGTACTGTCACTATGACCGATACCAGCATGGCTTTCTCAACAGACCTGAGCCACTTTGCTGGTCATGGCAGGATCGTAAGTTCTCGTGCTTGGTTTAGGCCGCGGTATCACCAAGTTCAG